TTTTTACCACGTCTCGTCACGACCCGCCAGCCACGCTCTCCCTCGGCTCTCGTGTTATTCAAAACAAGATCCTTTTTGGGTGCCGAAGAAGAGACACCAAACTCGAAAACTTGTTGGGGTTTGGTTGAAACATCCCGGTCCAATGGTCCGAATCAAGAGCCCAACCCCGAAATTGGTCTTGGGTTTTGTGCAGCAGGGGCCTGACCTACCCCTTTATCACGCCTAGTATAAGTACGTGACCGTTGCAGAACCTAGATCCACGGCCCATTGGCGGTGGTTCCGCCCCATTGTGTCCGGCGCCATCCTTGTCCCTCCCCGCACGGTCATCCTGTTCCGGGGTTTTCGACGTATACAGGCATCCATGGCTCGAGTGGCCAATCCTACCGCAGTGAAAACAAATCGTAGGCAAATTCTCGTAAACGACTCGTTGACTGCGTCCATTAATAGAGAAATTGACACATAGAGGTTTCATAAGGTCCACCATTACAGCTAGCCTCGCAAACTTACCACGCGTCAAGGCTGCGGTTTGTTGGTCTATTTTTACGACCTTACCCACTATCTGGCCAATCGTACGGAATACTCTTTTGTGGTAAAAATTGGCCGGCATGCCAGGAAGGCGAATCCAAGCGACCTCCGAAGTAAGCTCTTCATTCTGAGCGTCAAAGTCAATTGTCCAAGGCTGAACGTGCATATAACTATTCCCAACAACATAAGGTCCCCCAGTGAGAACCCTAACTGTGTCGTCAGAGATACGAAAATGGATCAGGTAAAACCCATTCTCGAGGTCCATCTTGTTGCACCCCACCATGAATGGCCACATCTTGATAAGGCGATTGTAGAGCGAGGCCATAGTGAGTGACTCGTCAAAAGGGTTTGATAACCACTACATTTTTCCAATCCTGTGCAATTTGATCAAAGAATCATTGACCTATCGTAATCTCCGGGTGTGGGTGAGTGCGATTCACGACGAAATCCTCGTCTCCATCCATGTCGTGATCCTCATCATCAGATTGCAGCTCCACATGATTCCGTTGTTTGTTTACCATGTCGCGAAAAGACCACCTGGTTGGAAGTGGCCCTTTGGCATGGGTTGTTGTGGTTCTAGGGCCGGCGGGCTCTGGCCCTCCAAGGGGCTCCCTGGTCGTTTAAGAGTCTTGGTCCTCTTACTTGCCTGGAGGGCTTGACGATTCAAAACCAGAATTCGAATTCATGGCAGTTCGTCCGAGAATTGTCTCTTGGGTCAAAGGTGGTCGTGTCGTCGGGCTGAAAATCACAAAGGCAGAGCGCGGTGTTAGTCATAGAGTTTTTGAATTCTCGAGGAGGACGAAAGTTACCCATCCATGGGTCCCTACAAAGACTTTAATTGACAAAATAAGGAATACGTAGGCAATTTAATTTACATATTAAAATTAAAATATTAAAAAAGAACTTTAACTTAATTCATTTTTTTTTTTTTTGGTACAGGGACCTTCCGGTGTCCGGATCCACAGGGGAACCGACTAATCCGGAATCGAGCCGGATAGGACCACAACTTAATTCATATTTTAATTTATAATATGTTAACTAATTTCTAAGTTCAATTTTTTTTAGACTCCTAATTGTTTATTTCTTTTACATAAAAACATACCGGAACAGATTCGAACCTAAATCGGTTCAATACCAGACGGACTACTTCTGAACTCTGAAACAGTTCAATGAACCTTCACAGTTCAATGAACCGGCCTAGAACTATAAAATGGTTACGTCTACCACCACTCAGAAAAAGTTATCCGAAGGACACTTCCGTCATTAAAGTACCATCATCATTCAAAGTTGGCCCCCTTTGCATTATTGAATATTCTATTTTCCACCCATACACATACAATAATATATTAACCCGCCCCACATATTAACTCGCAGGCCCCCCAAATTTGTCATTTTCCCATTTTCGTCTCCATCTTCTCCCTTCAATTCTTCGCTTGCTTTTTCTCCAACCTCTGAAAGAAAAGAAATAATTAAAAAAAAA